TATCTCGTGCGTTCCTTTTTAGCCGTTCGCACATGTCTCACACCAGCCACGGCGCGCATGGGTCAGTCAACAATCACCACATCTCCCTTTTTTTTTCAAAGCAGGGTAATTGACAAGATATACAAAATATCTAGCTAAATTTAAACATATCACAGAGTAACTTACAATATATACAAAACGTCTGGCCAAGTTCAAACACATCACAGAGTAATTTACAATATGTACAAAACATCTGGTAAAGTTTAAATAGCACATTAGGTGACGAACAATAACTCGGACAACAAACGCATATGGTGCAAAGTATCTTACAAAACCTCTTTTAGAGTTTACATCCCACATCAATCTTCAAAACCCAGTCTGACAGGCTCGCGCACAATTCGCCCTGACCTGTTCACATAAGCCTGAGGCACCCTGGCAGCGTCTGAAGCAGGTCCTGCAACAATGTCACTTTGCGTACTGCCGTCTAGACTTTTGTCCGAATCGTTGGTGTCCTCCTCCTCTCCTACGGGAAAGTCGTACGACTCGCCATTCTGGTGGGAGGAACCAGAAGGAAGAAAGTGTAAAGCACTTCTGTTTCATCTCAGCCTTCTACCAGAATCTGTTTCCAGCAAGTAAGATTGAGGTTTGGGAGCTCGCGCTGCCACTGTGGCTTCCGACTTCCTGTCGTTTACCCATAATTTATCTCCCACTTTCAACGTACGTGGCTCTGTCACTCGGTGTCGTTTGTTGAAGCCACTACGTTGCTTCTCGCGTTTTCGACGGTCCTTTTGTATTACTGTTTTCAGATCAGGGTGCACCTGACCTTGTAACTTGGGGAGCATTGGCACCCTCGTCTGAAGACGTCGTCCCATCAAGATTTCAGCACGACTTCTTCCCATCAACCCTGGGGTGGCTCTGTAAGCCAAAAGGGCTAGATAGGGATCTGTTAACTTTTGAATGAGACGTTTAACAGTTTGCACCATTATCTCTACCTCGCTATTTACTTGCGGGTCCCTTGGGCTAGTCGTAACATGACAAAACCTGTACTTTGATGCAAATGTTTCAAATTTCGAGCTTGCAGATGGGGGTCCGTTGTCTGAAATGACGATTTCGGGCATACCATGTCGAGCGAAGATATTAGGTTGTTCGATGACAATGTCGGCATGAGTGGAAGGGAGCAGGGCTATTTCCGGAAACCGTGACAAGTAATCGACACCTACTAAGTAATCTGAATCGTTTATCTTGCAGAGATCCACGCCCAGTTTTTGCCAGGGGTAGGGGGGGAGGGTGATTGTTGGGATCATTGGTTCCGCACTTTGGTTGCCATACTGTGCACAAACTCGGCAGTTCTGTACCAACACACCAAGTTCCTTACTTCGGCCTGGCCACCACACACATCTCTAGCCCGAACTCGACACCTGGCTATCCCCTGGTGACCGTCATGCAAACGGAGCAAAGCCTCTTTCCTTAGTTCCTAAGGAACAATTAACTGTGTCCCCTTCAACAAAAATCCATCACCCTGGGTTATCAACGCCCTCACCTGCCAGTACGGGCGTAGAAATTCGGGAATTGATAGTTTCACGGGCCAGCCCTTCTCACATAAACGCTGTAGCGACTTACAGACAGGATCAGAGGCTTGATACTCTTTTACTTTGGAGACAGTTTTGTCCAGTTCCTAGCTCCATCAGGCAACCTGGCGAGTATGCGGTTACTTCTCCAACTTTTAGTTCGTCGGGAACTGCCTGTTTGTCTTTGAGTGGAGCACGAGACAAACCGTCAACCGTGATGAGCTGCTTTCCCGGTACGTGAACCATTTTGAAGCGGTAGCGCATGAGCCTCATGCGAAACTTCTGCACACAGGGAGGTAAGACGTCAATAGAGCAAGTTCCCAGCAATGGAACCAACGGTTTAGAGTCAGTCTCAAAGACGGCATCAAGCCCTCTAAGGTACTTATCAAACCTGTCAGCAACCCATGTCAACGCCAGCGCCTCTTTCTCGATCTGTGCGTACCGCATCTCCGCTGAGGTTAAAGAGCGAGAAGCAAATGGCAATAGGTCGTCGGTCGCCATTTTTCTTGGCCTGAGAAAGAACTGCGCCAAGGCCGAACGACGAGGCATCTGCAGAAAGAACAGTGGACAGGGTGGGGTCATACATCGCCATGCACTCAGCCGAGCAGATGCTGTCTTTGATTGCGCTCAGAGCTGCCTCTTGGGCTGGGCCCCACACCCATTCAACATCTTTTTTTAACAATTCCCGCAAAGGAGAGGTCTTGTGTGCCAGGTTAGGTAAGAACCGACCCAATAGGTTGGCCATACCTAGGACTCGTCTGACCTTCAACACGTCTGTAGGAGTTGGTTCCAAAGGGCTCTGACCTTTTCAAGGTCAGGCTTTATGCCATCTGCACTGACGCGGTAACCCAGAAAGGTTACTTCCTTTTCCCCGAAAATGCATTTGGACTTGTTAAGAGTGACCTTAGAGTCTGACAGCTTATCTAAGGTTTTCTTTAACCTTTCATCATGTTCAGCTTTGTTTTTCCCGAAAATCAACACGTCATCCATAAGGTTGACGACTCCGGAAGACCCTCCGAAATTTCTGACATTCGCTTCTGGAAGTATTCTGGCACAAGGCTTATACCGAATGGAAGCCTCGTAAAGCAAGACCTTCCATACGGCGTGATAAATGTCATGAGCTCCTGGCAGGTCTTTGATAACTTGATTTGATGAAACCCTCAGTTTGCATCTAACTTTGAAAAAAAAAAAGCCTCATCAGCGAGCAATCCTAATGTTTGATCTACTGTTGGAAGGACAAATCTCTCCCTTCGCACGCTCCTGTTTCGTTGGGTGAGATTGACACATATTCTTACGTCTCCAGACGGTTCGAACACAGGTACCACTCTGTAGGCCCTTCAACCCGACGGATTATCCCCATTTCTACCATTTTCTCAACTTCGCATTTTACCGCATCACGCAGTGGGATCGGAATCCGCCTAGCTGTGAGTGAAGATGTTCTTTCTTGGAGATTGCGCCAGGACCCGACGGCGGAGGCAGCTGATGGTCGCTGGCGGAAGAATAAACCAGACAGGACTCCGCGGATAGGAGAAAAAAAAAGAACACGTCTATTTACAAGCGAAGCTCATTTTCGAATGTCGCCGCAGAAGGTAACAGCACGTGCTGTCCTTGTCTTCTTCTCTTTTCCAAAGCCTCTCCTGCCCCAGCTCGCACGAGCGTCGCCAGTTCACCCACACACAGGGGCGCACGTGCAAACGTCAACACGCAATGGAAAGAAAAAGAAGCTCGGTCCTGTTCCCGCGTCCACCCACGGTGATGGCGGGGCCGATTCTCACACCTCCCGACTAAGTATATTTTTTAGACCCGAAATGTCAAAAATAATATATAACAACTAAACTCAAACGTGTACACATATCAGACACACCTTACACAGAGTTTGTGACTCAACCCGTCAGAATCCAAACTATCAAAAAAAATTTTCACTAAGATGCAAATCATATGTTAGTAAAGTGATTCTTACTGTGCCCGCCACGGCTCCAAAGGAGTGACAAATGTCGTGCTAAAACTCGCGTTGCATCTAGCCTCCTAGCCTCGGTCTCTTTGCTGACAAGTTATCCAAGCCATCCAGATTTCGACGGGGCTTGAATCGGATGGTGCATAGCCGGTTCCGGAACATCCCCGCGCAAGAGCAACGACAGTTTATGCTCTGTCCTGACTTACGAATCAGGAATGGGCCTCGCTGGCGGTCGTCGTTGTCGATGTCTTTTGCAATCTCAGCTCTCTCACACGTGGCCGGCTGGTAGTTGGTCGAGTTTTCATCGGCGTCCTTAGTTATATTCTGGGACGACTTCATCTCGAAGACCGCTTCCTCGTCGCTGTCCCCGCTTTCCCTGACATCTCCACCGGCCCGCTGTGACGTCAGCCGCTCTGACAAGTTGTCCGACTTCTTGTCAACACCCACGTCCTTGCCGTGGTCGTCATCAGCTTGCCAGAACGTCTGCCACCAAAGCCAAATATCAGGTTCTTTTTTGTCGTCGACGTTCACGTTCTCGTCATGGTCATCCTGTCGACTGCGCCAGTGAAGATGTTCTTTCTTGGAGATTGCGCCAGGACCCGACGGCGGAGGCAGCTGATGGTCGCTGGCGGAAGAATAAACCAGACAGGACTCCGCGGATAGGAGAAAAAAAAAGAACACGTCTATTTACAAGCGAAGCTCATTTTCGAATGTCGCCGCAGAAGGTAACAGCACGTGCTGTCCTTGTCTTCTTCTCTTTTCCAAAGCCTCTCCTGCCCCAGCTCGCACGAGCGTCGCCAGTTCACCCACACACAGGGGCGCACGTGCAAACGTCAACACGCAATGGAAAGAAAAAGAAGCTCGGTCCTGTTCCCGCGTCCACCCACGGTGATGGCGGGGCCGATTCTCACACTGTGTGTATTGCAAATGGTGTAGCGTCGGGAATCAGGTGGATAGTGTATTCGCCGGGAATGGCGCACAGGTTACGAAACATCTGGGGGTACAGCACTTCTAAGTGATCATTGTCCTCCGAGATATCTTCTACAAACTTAACAACTCCCAAAGACTCAGTCGCTGGCAACCTAAGCAAGACGTGGTGCAGTTGGCTGACTACGTACACTGTATGGAATGAAAGGTTTTCTTTCCAATGCAACTTGGCCCTGAACTTTCCCAGTACATTTAGGCTCTGCCCACTCGCGTCCGTTAAGGCTACAACAGCTTTTTTCAGGTGGCCTGGAATGCCCGGGAAGGTTGAGGTTACTACGGATACCTTGGTGCCTGAGTCAATCTTTGCAAAGACTGGTACACCATTGAGAACTATTTTGGTATATCTAGCTCCCGCACCCTCTCTGTGTTTAGGGCTCTGAGAAAGAAGTCTTCAGTCTCTTTGTCGATGGCCGAAACCGGTACCCTCTTTTTAGTTATGCGAGATGTCTTTCGGCAGACCTGGCGGAAGTGCTCCTTATTCTGGCAGTTGAAGCACTTTTGGCTTCTCGCAGGACACAGTGACCGCTGGTGCTGGTCTCCACCGCAGAACTGACACGACTGTTGGAGAGACGATTCGTCCGGAACATTGCCCTTCCTGTCCGGCAGCTTGGAGTGGCGGCGCACAGCGTCGACATCCGGGTCACAGTCCTGGGTATCTTTGGACGGCGGCAGATCGATTGATCGAAGGGTGTGTTGCTGCTCGTGCACTGTTTTCTTTAGTCTCGCCTTGGCTGCTTCAGTGGTAAGAGTAAGCTTGGCGTCCCTCCAGGGATTCGAGAGCTTCTCGTTGAGAAGGCCAACCACGAATCGGTCTCGAATCATTCGCTGTTTCATTTCGCCAAAGTCACGGCGCGGCACATGCCACGGCACATGCTGTGCCGTGAGGAACAGATCGACCGTCTCGCCCTTCTTTTGTTGCCAACGGTGGAAGTACGCGCTCTCGAACACGACCGGGCGTTCCTTCACGAAATATTCATCGAACTTCTTTTTTACGTTGTCAAATTTCTTTGTGTCCGCTTCCGCTAGGCCAAACATTGCCAAAATGTGTCTTGCCTGTTTGCCCATGGAGTAAAACAGGGTACGGACTTGCGCCTCTTCACTTCGCTCGTTGATACCAGTCGCGTAGTGGTACTCATCAAAGTGCAGTATCCAGCCATGCCACTCCGAAGAATCCTTGAAATCAAGCGGTGGCGGCTGCTGGAGGGAGGCGAAGAATCCTGGCGGATTCTGTTTAGCGGCTTCTGCCATCAATCCTCAGTTTTGGCGTGGCGTGGCCACTTCTGACACCATGTCGAGTTTCCTAGGTTGGGGTGCCCATAACAGATGTGAAATGAGCGACCATCCAGTCCAGGCTCCCAGGCAGAAAAACGTCTTTATCTCGTGCGTTCCTTTTGAGCCGTCCGCACGTGTCTCGTGCCAGCCACGTCGCACGTGGGTCAATCAACAATCACCACACCAGTAACCAAGAACGGGTTGTCCCATTTTCCTATCTATACGTTCAGAAAATTGCTTATAACCTTTTAATAAGATAAGAGTTCTGAAACTCTGGCATGTGGTTCGAACCGGTAGTGCTACTTGGGCTCGGCAATGCATCAGTTTTTTCTGCGGTGAAAAAGAAGAGCGTACATTCTTTTAGGAGACATGCTGTTCATTAATACGATTACTAGCTGCAATCATCAGGTTTTGAGTGGTTCCCATTTTAGGTTCGTAAATGTTGAATCCTCGTCAATGAAGCTTGGACCATACGTTTGATTTCTATGAATGCAGATCTCTCTTGTTTGCATGGGACCTGATGCATGTAGGTAGAGCTTCTCCAAAGTATATATCGCTTCATCGCAAACTACATATAATGGTTGATTATGTAAAGGGGAGATGCGGGTCATAAAATAACTATCTTTTGCAAAAAAATTTATTTTTGGTTTTAGGCGTTTAATGATCTTTGAATGTTCATATTTTATTATAAAAATAATAAGGACCATTTATAATTGCAAGATTTGTGAAATAAACACTTTAAAAAACTGACAACCCAGAACTGCATAAATTTGAGCCATTTTTGTGTGCGCGCTTCTTCAAATGGTTGTCGTTGCCACTACATTATCTCTTCTTCATTGCAGTCGTCTGTAGCTTCAATTTCTCACAAGAAATTATTACAAAAAATTATTTTTCCAACCGTGGAAAGGTGTAGCTATGCATTTATGGTATCATTCAGGGAAATTTTTCTCTAATTTTGGGGCATCTTCACAAAATGTGCACAAGAATTTTTAGTTTTGGTATTGTCCTATACAACAAAATTTGACATGCATATGCTTTAGATTAAATGAATTGCAACTATCTAGGTTTGATTGGAATATATCTTATATTTATAAAAAACATTAAGAAATGTTTGTTAGCTTTTCGAAAACTGTGTTTTCCTGGTTTTCATATATTTTAAGCTAGGATAGGTCTAGCACACAGTATTGTTGTTGTCCATTGTAGTCAGTGGTTAAAAAAGAGCAAATCTGTTTAGGCTCTTTTAAGTTTGTTGCCATTATCCGCATGTCTGCAAGATGTTTTTTTCTGCATGTTCAAAGCATCCAAAACCTAAGGAACAAGCTACATCGAAACTAACACAAGACTTATATAAAGCAGATCAAGCATAATAAGATGTGGAAGCTTAATTCAATGATATTAAATAATAATATATAGTTTTCCCTGGTGCAACACCGTAAACATTTTTGTGGAAAGAGGAACATGGCAGCTTTCCTAAATCCGAAGGTTCCGCGGTTCAACGAATTTACGAAACAAATTTGGCATTAATATAGGGACAGCTAATAGGTTCCCATATAGTTATATCAAATTTTGTATCGTGCAAGGCCTCACTCCTTTAACTGTTAGTATTTTTTACAGTAGTGGTAATGCAAGAAGGAACAGGTTGGTTTGAGATACCTTCGAACTCTAAAGGCTGAACTGCGTGAAAGGGATTTAGCGAGCGACGAGACCGGCTAGAGCGACGAGAGTCAGTGGCGAGCGACGGGGATTTCTCACTGTCACTTGTCATGTTGCTCAGTTTTTAGATTTCTAGAAAATATTGCTCAACAACTTGGTCGCTTGCTTCCGTAGTTTTCATGTGCTTGGAGGGTGTGCTCACTTTGTTCTTAACTACTGTCATTACTCATTGCATTAGGTTTCTAGCATCTCAAGTGGTCCCAGGCGTCCCTCTTGCTGTTACGAGACTCCTTACGAACCCAACCTTCGCCAGCGATTCGAATGGAACCAATTCAGTCCTCAAGTTGTGGTGAGTTTTTTTTTTTTTGTTTGGTGATACCTCTTTTATAAACAGGGCAGTGACGGTGTCTATACTACAGGCTGTCATACTCTAAAGCAGCGCTTGTACAGCTGTCCACAGACTCCTAGGGGTCCGTGCCGTTTCGGAGATCCTCTACCGGGGGAGCTAAGAGCCCAGATGATAATGTGCAGGGTGATTGGATTTTTCTTCAAGGAGAGGGAGGCAAGCAGCGAAATTGAAGGAGAGGTTCATGGCAGCCGCGAATTGACTTTGGGCAAGATAAATATATGTTGGGCTCCTATTGGTGGCGTGTGTGAACTACGGGGCGCTTCTCTAACTACCATTATCATTGTTTGTGATGTCACGGGTAGGACAGACTGGGGCAGATTACGTAAATGTTGGATGCTTCGGCTCTTTGGCTCGCTTCATTGCTGCTTGGGTAACGCGCGGGAAAGCGTGTTTCATGCGTTGCGCTTATTTTGGTATAGTGATAATTGTAGTAGGACAATTTACCAAAGCTTGAAACCGTGGCATGTGTAGTCGTGCTAACAAACACTTGGCGCTGAGGTGTCAAAGCGCTCGATCGGTAGTGTGCTGTTCGCTACCTCAATACAAGAAGCTGGATGATGGAAATAGAATATCCAGTGCTTTACCCCGCTATGTCCACCACGGCGAATAGGCTATGTTTTTTTTTTGTTATAAATTGGACTAAATAAAACTGAGAAAGGAATGTCCCATGAAATTGAAAATAGGAAAGCGAAATTCGAGAGCTTCGCATATGTAGTAAACACTGCAATGAATCTGACTCCATGTATCATGTTGGTTTGAATATGTTCTGTGATTCCTCGTCTCTTATTAGTTCCAAGTTGATTCCTTTTAGAATTTTGTTAACCAGTAAACACACATTTCATCGAAATAACTGGCAGGAAGAAGTGGTGACCGACTTCCGGAGTCGCTTTAATTAAATCTCTGCTTACTCACCCAGTCGACGTGAAACGTGCGAGACCCCCTCGCGATCGAAGTCTTAAATCTAGTAAGTTGGTGACAATTTAGCGCCCCAAAAAATGAGGTATACACCTGCTATGCTGTTTAATTTTGCGGACCCAGATGCGCATAATGTGTGATGCACTTCTCAGCGAGTGATTTTAAATTTGTAAACAATTCTTAGTCAAAATTAGATAGAACAGATTAATAAATCGCCTGAATTTGCTTGGCCATTTCAGTCAATTTAAGAATTTATGAAAAGTTCTGCTTTTCGTTCGAGCAGAAGTCGCGATGTGACAAACTTCTTTGCCACGTATTTGATGCGGGCGGAGCTAACTGTCTGTTGCTGACGAGCATTTGCTCATCTGCAACTGTTGAGTTATGCTTGGATAGAAGCGTCGGTATCGGCAACTTCTATGTAGCTAAAACAAGTATGCAGCACGCTTTGCAACACAACTGTGCACGCATGCACAGCGAAGAAGACATCACATAATTTACTCTGGTGAATGCAAACCCTTTTTCTACAGTAGCCTTCACAGATCTGGAAAAAAACAAGAATCGGAGAGGCTGTGAATAGCCCAGATGCATGCCCCGCAAGCTGTAATGTGAAGCTCCAGGCTTGATTTTGAACATTTTGAAGTTTTTTAATATTATAAGCAACTTTGAGGCACTGTTATTCCTTAGGAAGATCGCTTACAAAGATGTCAAAGGCATTTCTTTCATAAATAAACCATTTAATCTGCATAGATGCAAACTAACACAGCCACTCCGTGTTTTAACATAGCACGTCGTCTGCTCGCATCCTACCAGCCGCATCGCAGGAGGGCACCCGCGAGGTGGTGCCACCAAAACATCTATTCGCCAATACACGAGGGATGTGGAGGTGAAAGCGAGGAAGCGAGCTTTCTACCAGGTACTGGGCTAATGCTAGAATAGAATGAAGGGGACAAGGTCAGTTAAGATGGCAGTGAAGGAAGCTGAAAGAGATATGTGGGAATTGAGATTGGAAAAAAGCATGCTATGCAGCAAACTTTAAATTAAGAAAATAACTGTTTTGAAAATGAAAAAAGTGTGCTCTCTATGTGGCAATGACGGGTACGGAGAACCGTGACTTATCGGTCAATATCTGAGGTGACAGATACAGAAACCTTGGGGCAGAGCCACTAGGGAGGAAGTACCAATTTCTCTTCAGCCTCCAGCTTTGCTATTTACCATAAAATACCTGCGAAGCACCTATTTTCTTCAAGTGCCCACTATTAACATGTTCCAAACATGGGAATACTGCAAACTATACACTAAGTGTCCGATTCGACAGAACAAGCACCCCTTTCCAGATTATTCCCATTTTCAGGATAAGTGTGATGAGCATTCTTGCTGTATTTTATGGTAATTGTTCTTCAATCACTTTTTCCAAGCTAATTTCCACCAGCACTCTAACCTCTTCTCCGTTGCATCTACTTTACTGTAATCCAAATTGCCAGCTTCTCCAGCGAAATTCGGGCACCGGCACGTCTCTCACTCCTTTGGGAAGGGCAGCACTAAACTACTTACACATTAGAATCACATGCTCAATTGTTTATCTCCTTTCTACACATAGTGCACATTTTATCTATATCTTCAAATTTAGGCTTGTATGTGTCTATCCTTCAGACTCCTGTTGTGGCTAAGCCAGCTAAGTACTCCCTGTGGAATTATCGCCTTGCCAAGGTGTGCCCGCGTTTACCAGAGTGATTTCCAACCAAAATGTGGCTGCTCGCAAATGTGCATAGACGAAAGATGCCAGACAAGCTAGAAAGTGGCCACAGATGACAAACCCAAAGAACATCATAACATAAGGAAAGAAGGTTACACATTTGGCTGGAGAGCCCCAATAAATTGAGCTAATCTTTGTTGCCAAGGTCACGCCTTTTGAAGGAAGCAAAACCAGCCACTGAAAGTAGTTAAATTTGGCGAACTCCAACCCTAAGGTCTTAACTAAACTCTTTTTATTAGTGGACCATCTTGTGTCTGTAATAATGAGACAAACTTGCATGTATTTACCTAGTTTGTTCCCAGAAGTAGCTGTCCTTAGCCTGCACTCCGGCTTTTAATAGTCACAAGGCAGAGTTACATAGGGAAGGATTGGTCCCCCAAAATTCTGTCTATATAGAGGTGCATCTATATTAGCGGGACATGACTCCACCACACGCTGTAATTCTTTTACTGATAACTTCATGGAAGACTTTCCATCTGACCTGCCATAATCAGTCATTGCCAATTACAAAACAATGTACCTTACAATCTCCAGCAATATTGTTTTTGTTCTATTTTCTAAATATTTAGGTATCCAGCCCCCAGAAGTGTTCAGATCTAGAATCTGAATCCAAAGGCACTGTGGTAAACACATTTTCTTGTGAGAAAAAGAAAATTTTTTAGAAAATAGAAAAACTTTCGAAAGTGAGAAGATATGTAAAGTATAATTTATAAATCAAAATAATAAAAAATGTTTGAATTTTTTAGGATTTTCATTTTTCAAGGTTAGGGGCTGCCCTTAAGGGTGCCAGTTGCATTGGAGTGGTTCTGTGAATCGAAATTCGAAGTGCAGCAAAATATATAACTGTACAGCTGTGGCAAAACTGCATTAGGACTACTCTTTTCCATACTAAGTGGCTATCTTAGTTGGGCTTTCCTTGTGTGTGAATAAAATCATTGCTGCAGTGAGGAACAACAGTGAAGGACACCACGGTAACTTTGTCTAGAGTGATGCGAGTGGTACACAAGCAACATGGCGAGAAAAGAGAACGATTGGCACCTTGCAATAACCTGCCGTCTGGAGGGGTGCCAACCAAACAAAGTTTCCGTTGCGTGGACTCGTTTATGACTGAAACTGATGCACCCGTGTCTATTAATACGGAAAACGTTTGTCCTTTGACGGCTATTGAAACAAAATTTCTTGGGGGAGGCGGAGGCTGGCAAGAATTGAACGAAGCGGCGTTACCTCCTACTGCCGCCGCGTCTAGTTTCCCTCGTTCTGGTAGGAAGTGGATTGCTCATGGGATGGTCGGAATGACGCCGACGAACGTGGCGAAGGCGAGCGCGGACGCCTGTATGCCGATGGTCTTGGAGATGAAGATCGGTTACGAGGTGGGAAGCTTGTTACTGGGGAAGCGTATGGATACGTCGGATAGGCTGGTGGCGAGTTGTAACTGGAGTGACCAAAGAATCCGTAGGTATCTCCTCATTCTTCAGCGATGCGTCGGCGACAAAAGCAAGCAATGTGATTTTGGATTCCGCAGTGGAAGCAGCTGGGGCGGCTTCGAACAGTGGAGGTCCACTGGGCGTTCAAGTAAGTGGTCCTCGGAGGTTCGGTACTCATCGGTCTTTGGAACCTGGGTTGGAAAGAAATCTGGGCAGCTGGCTGGGAAAGAAGTCTGGGCGCTGAGTCAGCATGTAGACGAGGGCTCATTGTAATTGCAGAAATATTAGGAGCTGCGGCAGAAAGCTCCTCTCGAATGGCATCCCTTAAGGACATACGCGTCGCTGCAGTTGTTTCCTCGAGTAATGTGGCACTGTCGGGAAACATAATCCGAAGCTCTTCCTTGATGATGTCACGGATGACTGTGTGTATAGTTTCAGTGACGGGGATTTGCAGTCGCGAGGGTAGCGAGGGTAACCTCGTTGAGGTGGTTGCTGGAATCCTGGCTCTTTTGGTCTTGTTGAGGCGACGACAGGCTTCTATGATGCTCTCGACGGTGCGGGAGTCACGGGCCATGAGGTATTGGAACCCGTCTTCTGATATTCCTTTGAGTATATGGCCAGCCTTGTCTGCCTCTGACATGGTTGGATTGGCGAGTTTACAGAGAGCAAGTACGTCCTCGATGTAGCCGATGTAGTCCTCGTCGGGACTTTGGGCACGGTAGGCCAGACGCCCTTCAGCCAGTTGTTTGCGCTGCGTAGAAAGTCCAAAAACTTCCAGAAACTTCTCCTTGAATCAATCCCAGGAGGTGAAAGCGTCTTCGTTGTCATTGTACCAGATCATCGCCGTGTCTTTGAGGTAGAAATTAACGTTAGCAAGTTTAAGCGTATCATCCCAGCGATGGTGCGCGCTCGCTCGATCATAGTCGCGGAGCCATTCGACGACATCTTGGGTGGCTGTGCCGGCAAACAATGGAGGATCACGTTGACGGCATCTGACGGTCAATGACGTTGTGACGGGTGGATTCGGCATGGTTTGGGATGTTACGGTGTTTGTGCCCAACGATGGCTGTAGACCCCGGTGATTACCTGATCGAAGCTCCGTGTCGGATCCTCAGCCTTGAGGTAGGGGTCGCCGCACCTCCACCAAATAATAAGGCGTGAAAGGACTTGGGAGACACGGCAACCAGGTCTTGTCAGTTCGGTCTTTAATTTACGACCAACTTCCTCTTCCTTATCCCCGTGGCTACTTCGTCGTTCTTTGTATAACCAAATTATGTGATCGTGGTCTAACCGTAACAATATGGTCTTTTCTTCTAGGTGATGGAGCCACATTGTTGGGGGAGACCAGCTGCCCACTGAAAGTCACCGAGGACATCTGGTTCGAATGCTGTTCCTGCACCTATGCCACCAGAGATCAGCATGGAATTGTGAGGCACCTTGCTGCCCATGGTGATGAACATTCCAAGTGCCAGCTACCTCCCAAGTCTGACTCTAAGGCCCAAGTGCTTGGCAACACTCAAAACCACAATAGTGAAAAGCTATATAAGTGCAAGCTTTGCCCCCAAGAATTTGCTTATAATTCTCTTCTGACCTGTCATTACAGAACACATAGTGGTGAAAAGCCATATAAGTGCATGCATTGCCCCAAAGCCTTTGCTCTAAATTCCAATCTGCGACGCCATAATCAAATGCACACTGGTGAAAAACCATTTAAGTGCAAGCAGTGCCCTCAAACCTTCACTCAAAGAAGCTACCTGAGAAAGCATAATCGAACACACATTGATGTAAAGCCATTTAAATGCAAGCAGTGCCCTGAAGCCTTTGCTCAAAATTCTTATCTGAGAAAGCACAATCGATCGCACACTGGTGAAAAGCCATTTAAGTGCAAGCAGTGCCCCCAAGCCTTTGCTCAAAATTCCTATCTACAAAGCCATAATCGAACACATACTGATGAAAAACCATATAAGTGCAAGGAGTGCCCCCGAGCCTTTGCTCGAAATTCCGATCTACGAAGTCATAATCATTTGCACACTGGTGAAAAGCCATTTAAGTGCAAGCAGTGCCCCCTAGCCTTTGCTCAAAATTCCGTTCTACGACGCCATAGTCAATTGCACACTGGTAAAAAGCCATTTCAGTGCAAAGAGTGCCCACGAGCCTTTGCTCGAAATTCCGATCTGCGAAACCATAATCGAACGCACACTGGTGAAAAGCCATTTAAGTGCAAGCTGTGCTCCCAAGCCTTTGCTCGACTTTCCTATTTACGAAGCCATAATCGTTTGCACACTGGTGAAAAGCCATTTAAGTGCCAGCAGTGCCCCCTAGCCTTTGCTCGAAATTCAGTTCTATGGCGCCATAATCGAACACACACTGATGGAAAACCATTTAAGTGCAAGGAGTGCCCCCGAGCCTTTGCTCGAAATTCCGATCTGCGAAGCCATAATCGAACGCACACTGGTGAAAAGCCATTTAAGTGCAAGCTGTGCCCCCGAGCCTTTTCTCGAAATTCCGATCTACAAAGCCATAATCATTTGCACACTGGTGAAAAGCCATTTAAGTGCAAGGAGTGCCCCCGAGCCTTTGCTCAAAATTCATATTTACGAAGACATAATCATTTGCACACTAATGAAAAGCCATTTAAGTGAAAGCAGTACCCCAAACCTTTGCTCAGGATTCCCTTCTACGAAGGCATACACAAATACACTGGTAAAAAGTCATAATGAAACACTGGTGAAAAGTCATTTAAATGCAAGGAGTGCCGCCAAGCCTGTGCTTAAAATTCCTGTATAAGAAAACAATCGAATGCACACTGGTGAAAAGCCATTTAAGTGCAAGTGGTGCCCCAAGCCTTTGCTCAAAATTCCAATCTCGAATCATAATCAAATTCACACTGATGAAAAGCCATTTAGGTGCAAGCAGTGCCTCCAAGCCTTTGCTCAAAATTCCGATCTACAGGGGCATAATCATTGGTACACTGGTATAAAGCCATTTGAATGCAAGCACTGCTCCAAAGTCTGCTTAAAATTCGAAGCCATAATCATCTACACACTGGTGAAAAGCCATTTAAGCTCAATCAGCACCTCCAAGCCTTTGTTTAAGATTCCCATCTGGGAAAGCATAGAGTCACTAAATAAAGCTACGCTTTCAGAGTACCGAAACTTCCAAACTACGCGTCTGAAGCGCGTCAGGCGCCGCCAGCTTGGGTCCACTCGTAGATGGAGGAGTGCTTGTAGCTGAGCCAAGCCGAGCTGTAACCGTCTGCGCCAGCTGTCGTAGCCGCAGCTGTGGCAGCGAATGAAGGTCATGTTGTTCGTATCTTGACGTAAGGAAAAAGGTGCGTGCTGAGCGACAGACTTCAGCATGAGCGCGCAGTAAACAGTAAAACAGCAGCAGGCGGTGGATCGCTGGACCCAAGATGGTGGCATTGCACGATGATGATAGCGACTCACGTGACTGGCGCTGTCCAATGATGCTGCAGCGAACCAGAATATTGTTGAATAGAGCGACTGTATTGTTGGCAAAAAGCCAAAGAAAAGGGATGCGGTACTCTGAAAGCGTAGCTTATTTAGTGACTCTAGAAAAGCATACCGTAATATCCCGAGTCATCGCCCACCCCCGTACCGCCTGAAATTCTTTAAAAAAGTGGGGTGGGCCATGTCTCGGTGGGTGTGCACAAACACTTGAAAAAAAGCGGAAAAAACCGCCTATTTTTCTCTGCGTATCTAGCGCTGATGCACAAGAGATACATCAAACTCAAAACTCGATTTAGTTTCATTGTTTTATAGAAAAAAATGCTCACGAAAGAATATTTAACTATAGCGAAGTCCGTTGCTAGCATACGCGCTAGAAACACCACCGATCTGCATATAGCGCGAACGTTTGTTCCGTGAAAGAATGTCACCATTATGTTCTCCTATTTAGTAAAAAAAAAAAAAAAGAAAGAAAAGTCTACAAGAAAATAGAAAAACCGACCAGGCGCAACGAGCGAGCGAGCGAGCGGACCAAAGAAGCGACCAAGAGCAATGCTCGGAAAGCGGGAAAGCCGGCGGTCGCGTTGGCAAATACTTTGGCATCGGGCCAAGTCGGGCGCCTTGTCAATTGCAAGCTCTTGCGCAACTTGTTTGGTGCGTACATACGTGCGTCCGTGCACGGCGGGCTATCAATGCACGGTTGGGACGCTCTGCAAACGTCTGTGTAGGACGTTCCAGCAAAGCTTTATTTACGCTTTGGCTTTGCCTAAAATATTGCACAACCGCGGTCGCGACGGGCGGGAAGAAGGAGCGGGTTCGCGGTGACTTTACTTCGGCGGAGACAGACTTTGACCTAACACTCCGCGGTTACGTTAACAAACTCTTATTTTGTTATCTCCATCGTTTTCTTTTCGCACGGATACACGACCACTTTGGGGTCGCTCAAGGAGGAAATGCGTAAACAAAAAGAAGTGTCTTTCCCTCCTTCGTTTTACTTTGTCACGGACGTCCTCCAACTGTAACGTCCGCGGCCGCGTCATTCGGGTAGGATGAGTGTTCGCGGATCGCAGAGTCCGCGCTGGGGTATTTGAAGGGGTGGGCGATGACTCGGTGTTTTTTCGGAAATCGATATTGGCCCCAAAATGGGGTGGGCGATGGCTCGGGGATGGGCGATGACTCGGGATATTACGGTAATCAAACTCACACTGAGGAAAAGCCATTTAAGTGCAAGTAGTGCCTCGAAGCGTGTGCTCGAAATTCCTATCTGAGAAGCCATAATCGAATGCACACAGGTTAAAAACTAAAGCAAGGGTGCAGGCGAGCTGGTTCAATACAGGCATTTTAACCCTGGAGAGTGGGGACAAGTGCAAACACGTCACAGATGTCCAAAGCCATTTAAATGCAAGCAGTGCCTTTAAGCTTTTTTTCATAATTCCAGTCTTTTCCTCCATTATCGAACACAGTGTTTAAAACCATGCGCCAAAAGCTTTGCCCAGAATAGAAGTTTATCTGCCAGAACCAGATGCACACGTGCATAATGCCTTGCAGTTAAGCCTGCCCCATGTATAATCATTTAACTCATGCAGAACTTGATGCTATTTCAGTGGAAGGGTACAGATCCAAGAGGTGTCATACTCTGCTCGAGGAGAATTAATGAAGGAAGTGGAGGAGAATGAGAGGAGGAAAGAAGGATGGGGAGGAGGATTAGAGGAGGAGGGGGAAATAGGAAATGCCCCCAAAAGTTTGTTGAGAAAGGAAAGGGAGGGACTTGCAGTCAGGGAAGTCCCCTGGCAATTTGTTGTGGCGAAGCAGACGAATTGGAATGCAATATCTTCTTTTCCCCTGCTTAGAGCGTTCTAGCAGATTTAGAAACTCAGTTTCTGGATGCTCGACTAAACGCCGGCTGTTTATTGTTACAGATAATGGGGTTAATAATTTTAACAACCTAGACTCAGCGCACCGTGGCGATTTGTAAGTTGAACATGAAGAGCTACTTTCAATTAAGTTTGGGAAACAAATTTGTACCCAGGATTGACCCAATTCCCAAAAAACCATAATTCACAAGAAATAAAATAACAAAACAACCCAAAGTCAAAGTCTTAAGAAAGCAGCTATACGAAATCAAAACCATTAACCTAGTACATTCTTGAGAACCTGAGAAATAGGCCCCATGTGAAGAGTGTATGCTTATTGCTCCTGTGCTCCTGAGAGTAAAAATAAGTTCTAAGTTCTATCACTTAAATCTTAAATTGCATCCTCCGAATGCTCTAAGGCATTGGGTAGTGTAGCAAAATGATTTGTTGACCTAGTTGGTTAAACATTACGAAAATTAAAAAGCACAAAAGACAAGGACAAGAGGGAGACAACACAGGACAAGCATTGGGTAGTGCTTGGCGATGATATCGAGGACTCGGAGGAAGGCATTATTGCGGTGGATGGGGCTGTCCATCGACATCCATCTCAGCCAGTTAAGGTGTGTCTGCAGCGTTGCTGCAGTCTTTATTTTGCCAGCTGGCGTCCTCGCGTTCCTCCCGGTGCAGCCCATCCTCTTTCGGAGCAGGTAGAGCTCGTCGAGGGTATTGAAAATATTAACTTCATTAATTGTCTGTAACACTAAGCGACCAGCATTTAGTTGAACATCCAGAAACAGAGTTTCTAAATCTGCCAGAATGCCACAACAAATTGCCAACCACAAATCGCCGGGGGACTTCCCCGACCGCAAGTCCCCTCGTTTTCTTCGCAACAAACTTTCGGGGGCTTTCTGCCATTTCGCTTCTCACTCACTCCTGTCTCTCTCTCCTATCCTCCTCTCCTTCCGTCTTCCCTCGTCTCTCATTCTCCTCTCCCTCCTTCTTTCCTCCTCGAGCGGAGTATGACGCCTCTTCGATCTGTGCCCAATCGAAGTATACATATAACCGAGTGCAACGTAGGCCCCAAAGGCTTTGCTCGGATTAATATTTAAGCGTGCCACACTGAAACCTTTATGCGCAATAAGCCTGACGAATTCCAGCAGCGTTCCAGGTCATTGTTTTAACGGTCTTGCCTCACCGGGCACCTGTTAACATACAAGGTTAACAAACACTGAGGGCACTTGCGTAATGCCTGAACCAAGTGGGCCTTTAATATGCCAGCAATATCCGAGAAACTTGAATCGGAATTCCAGCTTGGTTGACCACATAGAATGTGCACACAGAGCCTCTTGTCCAAATGCCGTTTGTCATCACACAAATGTTTTGGTGCGTAGTGAATGATTCTTCTCTAGCTGTGATCTAGAGGCCGGGTCAATGATTAGGAAACATTGTTTATTATTTTTCAGAGCAACTACTCTGTGTTCTGGAACCTGAGTGTACATTGGGTCATGCTCTAGGTCTTGTTGCAAGCTCCCTTAAACTTGCTCGAGGTGTGCTCTTTGAGGCAACGTCTAATATGTTTGTTAAATTGTCTTTATCGTTTTCTCTGATACTACTTTTATCTATGAGGAAGATACAATTGTAACTATGGTTAATGTGCAATCAGAATTTAATCTTGCTTATTAAAAACAAAAGGTTTGCAGTTTAAGTTATTACATTGTTTCTTTCAGCTGCTACAGAATTTGGTACTGATGTAACGACTCGTTCACACCCTGGTGACTGCTTACGACCAGAGAGGCTAAAAACAGGTTTTTAAGCAGAGTGTCGAACCAGTCATTATTGTTGTTCGGTTCGGGTTCAGTAGCATTCCATTTTGTTCCGGTTCGGTTACGGTGTAGGGTAGCGCACATAATATCACTCCGGTTACCAGTTTTAATAAGCGCGAACCGGTTTGTAACTCGCCCTTTGATAATTGACCGAGCACTTCCTGCAGCCTTTTGTGAGCCTGAGATTCTTGCAATAAACCGATCCCAAAACTACTCCCTCTTTAGACAGATCTGAAAACCCTGCTCAGTGACGTGCGCAAAAGACACCATTAATGTGGGAAGGCTCTTACTTGTATAATACTGCTCTTAAGTGAACTATATAAAAGCGATCGTCTTTCCATTTTTACGGTGTCTTTTGCATACGCAGCTGTGCAATATTTCAAACTCTGCCAGAAGAGGGCGTCATTTCGGGAACGAGAGCTTGTGGCCGGTGCCATATTTAGTGCTCGTGCGTATAGCGCGTACTTTGCTCGCTTTGGCGAAGCGACGAACACACACGTGCTGGGCTGTGAAAATCACAGGCTGGGACGTGACTTTGTAAACAGTAAAAAGGTCTCTAACTGGGTTGCTCTGCCTCTATATGTTTTTGTTTGTTTTGCTCTGCACACACGTCTTTTTTTAGACATGCTACCTGTTTTCGACGCCCGGTAAGATGTCGCAGCTATGCCCCAGAGTGGCTGACAGGGGAACGAGAGGAAACAATTGTGACGTAAAAGTTGAAACAGACAAACAGGTACACCGAGTGCGCAGTTGGGGCAGTTATCGGATCTTGTTAAGCTGTGGTCGTGTATACTTCGGCCAGATTGACTGATATGTCAATGACCGGGCACGTGAACATGCACTGTCACTGCAGTGAACCTCGGGAGGCCATCTTCCTTTATACTGCATCAGTTGCTTGTGTTGGCCGAAATTTGACAGCCTCCCGATTTTGGGGAGTGGGGCTGACAAAACAGCACACAATCTTCTGGAAGTCTACGAGATAGGAAAGGAACGAGTCCAATGCGCCAGCCAAATTTTAATATATAACCTGGTGATTCGGTTGTTTTTCTTGGTGTTTTCTTTTCATTAAACGTTCAGTTGAAGTCCAGTGCTAGTCTGTCGATTTCTTTCCTGCGTCCATGTTTGTTTGCGCGCTGCCAGTTTGTTACCTGTTTTCATTGTAACCAACCTCTTATGAAATACCGCCGGGGATGCTTAAAGTGTTTAAACAAATAAATAAATGAAATAAAAATAACACAAAAAGCGGGGGCATATTAAAATTATTATATATATTTTATCCCACAGCGAAAGAGGAATATATTTGATCAAACCCCACTAGAGCTTTTACATGTCATGACGTTTCATAGCGTTATATATGCTTATGGCGCTTTTCGCGCGGATGAACGTGATGTTGTCTATTGTCGACTCTTTCAAGTTGGCTCAAAGCAGTGAAAGC